AGGATTCTAATAACAGTACCTGCCTCCGAGAGTTATTGAGAGAAATAAATGAGATATTCATGTCTAGCACGTAGTGCAGTGCTTGGGACAGAGTAAGCTGTCAACACACGTGAAACGTGATTGTAGGCAAAGGTAGGAATCAAGTTCAGCACATCCGGTTGGGGCTATCTCTCACCTGTCACTATAGGATAGATTCCCAAAGAAGCCCTAAGTCCTCATTCCTGTAAATATGTTATCTTACATGGCACAAGGGACTTTGTGGCTGTGATTAAGTTAAGAATCTTGGGATGTGGGGGCAATCCTAGATTATCCTGGTGGGCCCAGTGTCAGCACAAGGGTCCTTACAAGTAAAAGAGGGAGGCAGGAGATTCAGGGAAGGAGATGTGGTGAGGGAAGGTGAGGTCAGAGCGATGCCATTGCTGGTCAGGGGGCCACGAGCCAAGGAATGGTTCTAGCCAAGAAAAAGCCTCCAGAAGGTGGGGAAGGCAAAGACATGGTTTCTTCCCTGGAGCCACCAGAAGGAACTCAGCCCCACCATTATTAGCCCAGTGAGATGACGTTGAACTTCTGACCTCTGGAACCGTAAGAGAATGAACTTGTGTTTTAAGCCAATATATTGTGCTAATTTGTTACAGCAGTGATAGGAAGCTCATACAGTCGTGATGCCATGAGGATGCGCTGCCCAGATGCTATCAAAGGAAGGACTTGCTGTCCGGCTACAAAGAGTGTGATCAGGAGATGGGCTCCAATCTCAGCTCTTTCAGGGTTGGCCTTGGCTGTCGAGAGTGGCCTCACCCAAGGGGCATCTCGCACCCAGAGATCGAGGAGGGGACGGGATGGAGGTATATGAACTTTGTACTTTGGCCCAACTCAGACAACTTTGACAGGCCATGATTATCACAAAGCTTCCTATCTGTCTGGCTGAGCCTTTGCTGGGCTTGCATCTTAGTTGGACTTTTTCCTCTGCTCAGTGCTGCCTCCACCCTCTTCCTTCCACAGGTGTTGCTTCCTAACTCTTGGAAAAGCAACCTGCAACAGAAACCCATCTGAAAGGGAAGAACACTGCCTTCGAGACTGCAGACAGCTGGTTAACTGTCAGCATTAAAAAAAAACTTTTTAAAAACTTTAACATTTCATTAAAAATGAAGAAAATAAGTATTTTATTCCTAATCCTTTTACCAGCACATTTTACCACTCGTCTATCCCTTTCTTAAAAATAAATAAAATAAAATAGAAATAAAGGTAAGAATCTGATTTAGAGTTAGGGATGCCAGATCCTGCCCATTTCTTAAAGCTTTGTCTGCAAACAGGAAAGCCAAGCGTAACTACATTTGCTAATTTTGTGCATGCAGGAAGCAATCCACTTTGCTTAGGTATTAGCCAAGATGAGCTAAGGATTAGAAACCACATAGGGAAGTATGTGGGTGGTCTTCTCTCCTCAAAGAGAAAAGAGGGTATACCATCTATTAATACTCAAGAATAGAGGGTGCACCATCTATTCATACCATCTGAAATGCGGTGAGTGGAGCAGAGTGTGTCCAAACAGTGTATTTCAGAGGGACAGGTAGGCTTAATTCCACCTTCTTGGCCTTGGATGATACCAGTTAGTTGAGAGTACTGAGAATTTAATTTCTATATAAAGTGAAGGCTAGAGAAATCATCACTTCCTACAAAGGAAGAATTAAGAGTAGAGAATTGTGTTTCCCCATTGTAGTTTGGTGAAGCTCCAGATATTTCCAATTTCAGAAATATTTGTGAAATTTTTAGAACACTCCCTTAACAAAATTTGATTTAAGGCATTTGAATTTTGTCTAATAAACTATTGTGGGATCTCCAATTAAAAATAGCAAATTGAGAGACACATTTATTTCCTCTTCCTCTCAAAACCTGGCTGGAAAACAATACCAGGATGAAAACGTATTAACTCACAAGAACAAAGATAGTGGAAGGAGAGACAGTAGATAAGAGATTTCAACAAGTTTTGAGAGACAAAACATTGCTGGAGGGATTTTTAACTAAGCATGGCAGACAAAATATGCTACATTTATCTTTGCTTCTTCTAGAAATCCCACTAAAGCAATATGAAGGAATTAAAAAGGTATGTGATAGACACAGATGTGCCACACCTGAGGAGAGAGCTGTCACCAGCTTTCCAATCTGGAAATCTATACCCAGCCCAACTAGCACTACAGAGTAAAATCAGAACAATGATATTTTCAAGCATTCAGACACTTAAAAAACTTACCTCCCATGTATTATCCTTTAGTAAGCTTTTGAAAATGTGCTCCAACCAAATGAAAGAGTAAGATAAGAAATAACAAGACAAGACTGTAGGAAGAAGACATTCAAAATGAGCAAGAGGCAAAGGGATTTGTGGGATAATGGCAAAAAGATGATCCAAAACAACAGCTATATAGCAGGCTCTAGAGAGTCCAGCTTGGAGCAAGAAAATGGAGGTCTCTGGAAGGAGATCTCCAGTAAAAACACAGCATCGATTCTTTGAATGTAGAGAAAATATTACCGATAGGCCTGTGGCAGAGATGTTGGAGCATTTGGAAAATTACTTAAAAACAATACTTAGAAAGCCAGACAAATAAAAAGGCAAGGCAGTTATTAACTCTTGGAAAACCAAAGGGTTGTACAACAAAGGAGGAATAGTCACAGTGAACCTCCTTGGTTTGGTAGTAAACAATATTGATACGGTCATAGTATAAACATTTACCACTGATCTACTCTCAGATGGTTAGGAAAAGAAGTTGGTGAGATAGTAGGAGGGTAAGGAAGGATTAGTCTTAGTGTTGGAGAAATAAGTTAATAGACATTTAAAAACTGGATAAATCAGGAATTGCAGTGTAATTGATTTAGAAGTATGACAATAAGTACCAGGGGGAAAAGGTATAAGGCTTCAGGGTGGCTGCCACTGGGGAATAGGACACGAAGGATAGGCTGGGGAAAGGTAGGATTGATGGGTCTTTTAAATAGTGTGCCTTTCAACCATGTTCTTTTGAATAAACCATTTACTATTCTGAACATAGTAATATGTACTATGATATTTGACTACAGGAAGGAGTTAGTAAATAATATTTTAAAGTTTAAAAATTTAAAACTTGCTTTATTTAGTACATGTTTACAAACAGAATCTTCTCATGGAAATCAAAGACTTGACAAAGTGTTCTCAGCACAGCAGTCAAGCACATGGGCTTTGGGCTCAGGTGGTTTGTTTTGCAGCCTCAGCTCTGCTATCTGAACCCTGGTTTTTCTTGCCTGTAGAATGGGGATAACAATAGTCATATTGTGATAATAATGTCATAGGAATGTTTGGGGAATTAAATAAGATAAAAATAACAACTACTGGTAAGGAACTTAAGCATTTTATACATGTTATCTTATTGAATCTTCATAACGTTATCAATTTTGTGAAGAGCATACTTGTCACAGTGTCTAATTTTAATTTAAAAATTAGCAGTTTTTTTGTTATTATTTTTATGGGAATGGAGCTGAATAGAAGAAACAAAATAAAAAAGAAGACAAACTCAAATGACATTCTGCCTGTTTTGAGACCAGATTTCCAATATCATCTGTCCTCCTATTACACATAGTGTTGAATCTGAAATAAGAAGAAAAATGTCCCCAGGGCATCAAAGTTCTGTTCAAAAGTGACACTCTTTGGCTTGGCATCAAATTCTTTTTTTTTTCCCAATTGTGAAAAAATGCACTTGACATAAAATTAACCATTTTAACTAGTTTTAAGTGTGCAGTTCAGTGGCTTTAAGTACTTTCATAATGTCATGCAGCATTTACCACCATCTTCTTCATCTTCCCAAGTTGAACTCTGTTAAACACTAACTTCCCTTTACTCTCCAGTCAGTCCCTGGGAACCACCATTCTACTTTCTATCTCTATGACTTGGACTCCTCTAGCTACCTCATATAAGCAGAATCATACAATATTTTTTTTTTGTGTGTGTGTGTGTGTGTGTGTGGCTTCACTTGCCATAATGCCTTCAAGGTTCATCCATGTTGTAGCATGTTGTAAAATTTCCTACCTTTTTAAGGCTGAATAATATTTCATTGTATGTATATACTACATTTTGTTTATCCACTTATCCATCAATGGACATTTGAGTTGTTTCCAACTTTTGGCTATTGTGAATAATGCTGCTATAGACATTGGTGATAGGTGTACGAAAGTCTATTCGAGTCCTTGTTTTCAATTCTTTTGAGTACCCAGAGGTGAAATGGCTGAATCATATGATAATTCTGTGATTAATTTTGCAAGGAACCACGATACTGTTTCCCACAGTGGCTGTACCATTTTACATTCCCACCAGTAATGCACAAGGTTTCTCATTTCTCTACATCTTTGTCAATACTTGTGATTTTGTACATACACTCTCATGTCCATATGGAAGAGATTCTGTTGCATAGATTTTTAGAAGTGGAATTGATGGGTCAAATGGTATATATACCTTAAAATTGATACAGCTAACCAATTGCCCTCCAAAAAGGTTGTACACTTTTTGGAGGGCAATTGGTTTACACTCCCACCATTGTTATATGAGAGTGCTTATTTGCCATATCCTCACCAACCTTAGATACTATTGCACTTTTTAGTATTTGTTATACTGATGGACAAAAAAACATCTCATTACTTTAATTCTTATTTTTCTGATTACTATGGGAGTATCTCTTTGCATTTTTGTTGGCCATCCAAAAAAAGCACAAATTGGGGCGGGGGGAAACCTATGATCTCTCCAACTTAGCCTTTTTCGTCTTTTTTTTTTCAAAGAAAGGGAAAGTTCCAAACTTGCAGAAGGAACTTGTAAAGGACCTTCACATCGATTTGTCAGTCTGGGGAATCAAAAGAGTCTTAGGATGCTTAGTTTCTATACCTTTCAGAATGCAATCAAATTTGGGGTGATTTGAGGGCATGCAGGACTCTGTGGGCTTTTTTTGTTCCCTTACCGCACGCATTTTGTTTCTCTTTTTGCCAAATCACAGGTGGAAGCTGGAAGCCGAGTCAATACTACGCCACAAGGCGAGATGCAGAGAGCTGTGATCGGGTGCAAAGAAGGGGGCCATTTCTACCTTTACTAGACCAGACAGTCCACGTGGGAGCCGGAAGGCAGATGCCAGCTTCCTCTCAGGCCGGGACACAGCGACACATGCGGGGAGCCGTCTGCATCAGGGTAGGAAGAATGACTTGAATATGTCCACACTGTGGTTTGCTTTTCCCTCTAGCAGCTGCTTCTGTGTACCTCTGAAGAGCTCTGGTCTCGTGGGTGGCAGCACGTGGAAAACCCATGTCCAGGGTGTCAGCCATGGCGTCACAGTGGCACTTGGAGAAGGGGGTGACCACTTTGAACAATGCACGCGTATTTACATGACAAACCAGTAAAACTCCAGCAGGTGCTCTTAATCAGATCGCTTCCTTAGAGATGGGCTAGAGTCGTTCACACCAATGAAACAAACAACAAACGTGGGGGGACTTTCAGATTTTTTATGAGGTGCTTTAGATGCTGTTTTTGATAACGAAGCAACAGACTTCCCTCCAAAATGAAATCTGAAAATAGGTTATTTATTCATCTGTTTCTTTTATCTGTCAAGATGCCTGGTGGGCAGCTGAAGATGGAATGCATCTGTAAGGGTCTAGCTCAAGAACAGTAGAAGATACTTCAGTAGAAACGAAAAAGATTCTTAGCTGACGTGTAGTTTGTTCTGTGACATCTGAGACAATGGTTTAAAGCAGGGGTCCTCAAACTTTTTAACAGGGGGCCAGTTCACTGTCCCTCAGACCATTGGAGAGTGTGGCTCATGTTCCACACGTGCGCACTGTGGGCCCAGGCCAAGTCGGCTGCTAAGCAGGACAGGCAGCGGCGGCAAAAACACCTGGCGGGCCAGATAAATGTCCTCTGTGGGCCACATGTGGCTGTAGTTTGAGGACGCATGGTTTAAAGGGAAGCTCTAAAGTGATAGTTTTCAACTTTGGCTGCGTATTAGCATCACCTGGAGAGTTTTGGCAACTCCTGCTGCCTGGGTCGCACCCAGACCAAATAAATTAGAATCTCTAGTGGGTGGGACCCAGGCATTGATATTTTCAAGTTTCCCAGGTCATTTGCAAGGTGTATAGCCAAGATGATAAAACACTACTTTAAGAGGAAATTTCCTTACCCTTTGAAGGGTAAGGATTTCAAAAGTCATTTAACATTTTGCGGGGAATGGTAACCCACTGACATCTCATTTACAAAGGAGTGAAAATGGAAGTCGCCGTGTATTTTGTCTGCTTTCCATACTTTATATTATTTACCTCTCTTTTAATTGTTTTGAGCAATTATTGGGAATCCTACACTTTAGTGCTCATAGAGCCAGGCAGCTGCAGCTGATGAGGGAGGGAGCGCAGGTGAGGGTGGGGGGTGGTCACTGGAGAGAACTAGGAAGCTCCTGTCCCCAAGGGGAGGAGCCACTGCCCCCCCCCATGCTAGTGGGGGCAGGGAATGCAGCCCAAGTGGGGCCAGGTTTTTGGATTTTTCAAAATAAATTGGTGATGGGAATTTCTATGCGAAACATTTTACAAATATTAGCACCAAATTCAGAATCCTTTTAAAACTCCATGCAGCCAAATGAAGCTCATCTCCAGGCTAAATCTGGCCCTGTGGGCTGCCTGTTAGTGCCTCTAGTTTATAAACCCTTTGGGAGGCAGGGATCACTCTTTTTAAATTATTTTTAATTTGTTTATTGGGGTAAAATATACTTAACATGCAATTTACCATTGTAACCATTCTGAAGTGTTCACACTCAGTGACATTAAGTACATTCACAGTATTGTGCAACCATCAACCACTACGTAGTTCCAGAACTTTTTCATTACCCCATACCCATCAGCGGTCACTCCCGACTCCTCCCTGCCCCAGCCCCTGGCGACCACTAATCTGCCTTCTGTCTCTCTGGGTTTGCCTATTCTGAATATTTCATATAGACAATCATGCACTGTGTGGGCTTCTGTGATGAGCTTCTTTCTTTCACTTAGCACAATGCGTCCCAGGTTCATCTATATTGTAGCATGTGTCACTTCCCTTTTATGGCTGAATAAGATTCCGTTGTACAGATAGACCTCTTTTCATTTATCCATCCATTGATGGATTATCATTTCTGCCTTTGGAAATTGGTTTATTTGCACCTTTTGGCTATTGTGAAGCATGCTGCTATGAAAATTCATGTACAAGTTTAGTTTGAAAGCAGAGATCATTCATATATAAAAATGTATGTTCCTGTAGCCCCTTCTCCAACTCCAAGCACGTTGCAGGTGCTAATGAGTTAGGGACTTAACCTACGGGGTGATGAAGTTGTCCTAGTTTTAGCATTGAAGGTCCCACATCTTAGAAACCCCCTCAGTTCGAAATAAACCAGGATGATCGGTCACCCATCAATGGGTTGCTTAAGCTAAGCAGTGGAAGATCCGAGTTCAGGTTTAAGGTCTGAGATTGCCACATATTTGCCAGCATAATCCTTATCAAGGTAAAGCCTAATAGTTTTAGTATTTCAATTGTGACTTTAGAAATAACTGCGACAAGTCTCTATTTCTCGTGGGTGTCTGTGATCACCAATGATGTCAGGACTGTTTGCTCTCGCATGCAGCAGTTCCTCTATGACAGCCTGGAGGGTCCCTGTTCCTTTTCTAATCTTAGCTTCAGGATCATCTCCTCCAGGCCTTCCCAAACTCTCTCCCACTCCACTGTCTTTCATCCCCAGACTGTGTTGTAATTACAGGTGTCCCTATTTGACCATGACTTTCCGAAGGATGGTGGAATATTGCTGATGTTTCTATCTGCCCAACATCCATCTCCTCTTCTTTTGATAATAGCATCCACCTTTTTGTGGGAGAGAGACCAGCTCTTCCCTGATCTCATACCACTTGATGTGGCTAGAGTTGATGCCACTCCCTAGTTGCCGGGGGGGCCCCACAAGCCAGGTGTGGCCCATCCACACATTCCATCCCCTTGGCCAACTCGACTGGCTCATGAGTGTATAGGTGGCCTGACCCAGGTCAGCTCACAATTGATCCTGCAACTTACGCTGGAACAAATGGGAAGGAGGCTCTATTTCTTATAGAGTTGCTAAGCTGTCCGTGGTCATCTTTGCCACATCCTGGGGAAAATCCACCTAAAAAATGAAGCCGACACAGAAGAAAGCAGGGCCGAGAGACGAGGAAAGAAAAGATGTATCAGGCAAGAGTAAGAGTCACCCCTTTAACTGTTTGATTATGTGAGTCACCTTTCTTTTTGCCTAAACTGGTTTGTGCTGGGGTTTTGTCTCTTGCAACTAAAAGAACACTGATGAATGCCCTGAAATTTATTAACTTTTAAATGCCACACATATAGCATCATATCTGGTACATCATAGTTGCTCAAGAAATGGATGAGTCAATGCATGCTTTCAGAAGTGCGCCATTACCCTGTCTTCTTTGGTAATGCAAAGATATCCATGCAAGAGGAGTCAGGAAGTGGGGACGTGGGGAAGTTAGAACCCTCATGTATTGCTGGTCTGAATGTAAAGTGGTGTGTCTCCTGTGGAAAACGGTTCAGCAGTTCCTCAAACACTTAAACATAAAATTACCAAATGATCCTGAAATTCTCCTCCTGGGTATATACCCCAAATAATTGAAAATAAGTGTTTAAACAAAAACTTGTACACAAATGTTCATAGCAGCATGATTCACAGTAGCCAAAATGTGGAAATCATCCAAATGCCCATCACCAGATGAATGGATAAACAAAATGTGGTCTCTCCACACAATAGAATATTATACTGCCATGAAAATGGATGAAGTACTGATCCATGGCACAACATGAAGAAGTCTTGAGAACATTATGCTGAGTGAAACAAGCCAGGCACAAGCAAACAAATACTGTATGATACCGCTTACATGAAAAGCCCAGAATAGGCAAATGCATAGAGACAGAAAGCTGGTGAGTGGTTGCTACGGGCTAGAAGAGGGAATAAGGGGCGGGGTGACTACTTAATGGGTATGGGATTTTCTTTTGGGGTAATGAACTTGTTCTGAAACCAGATAGTGGTGATAGTTGTACAACATTGAATGTACGAAGTGTCACAAGTGGTACATTTTATATTTATTTTACCACAATAAGAACAAAAGAATTAGGAATTTCATCAGGGCTACTGCAGGTTGGGCTAACCCTACAGATTGTTTCCAGCACAAGGTGCTCACACAGGGGCAAGTCTGAAATCCAGACTGTCCTCTGCCCCCCAAGTTGAGACCGCCGGTACTTTTGCAGAGTAGATGCCTTTTTCTGATTTATACGAAGACACCACTTAGGCTAATGCTGATCTTGAACTTCACAGACAAGTTGGCATAAGAAGTAAGTGGGTTTTGTTGATGGCATTACTTTACCGCAACTTTCAACAATATTCCTTTGCTGTGCATCTTTAAGTACTTGGAGAGTGCCATCGTACACACCCTCTCCCATCCTCAAAGTGCTATATCTGAAAAGTCAGAGTGCATGATTGAGCACTTAATTTGTAAAGCCAGCATAAATCACTGGACTAAATTGTCCATTACTATAGGCTCAAATTATCTCACCGTCAAGAGAGCAAGCTGGTTGCTTTGCTTGCATTGGAAATTAAGAGACAAAGAGGCGAAAGGCCAAAAGGAGAAGACCTCTAGAAAAATCAGTTTTTTGATGTTGGAAAAACCTTATAAGGTTAAAGATAGAGACATTCTGCCTGTCCTCATTGAAGGTATTTTATATATACATATTTGTTTTAAAGAAAGGGTCTTGCTATGTTGTCCAGGCTAGAGTGAAGTGGCTATTCACAAGTGTGGTCACTGTACGACAGCCTTGAACTCCTGGGCTCAAGTGATCCTCCCACCTTAGCCTCCCGAATAGAAGGTACCTTTAAAAAATCTTTTATGTTTTGGGGATCAGCGAGTTAGAACAAAACAATAATAATCCTCTCATAGCTGTGGAAGATTTGGTTGTATCTTGGGGGCTGATGCTACTAAGATCTTTTCTTCCTGAAAAATCAGTAGAACAGAAGGGAAAAACGAAAAAGAAATGCCCTGGGAAAGCAATATGGTGAGCCCTTCAAGAACAAGTCAATGTTAGTTTTGTTTAGTTTCAGGGGCATTAAAAGCCCCTCTTCCTCCTAATCTGCCATTTTTCAATTTGTG